AAGCTGTGAGGAAACCATGGCCGTATGGTTTTCTAATTGTAAAGCTTACTAATTAAGCTATGTGTTATTGTAATCAATCTGCCAATTATTGTAAATGTGTGATGTGTTAAATCGTTTTAATTAAACGGCTCACTGTTGTTGTTGAGTCAGAAATTAAAACACGTTTCCGTCCACATTTAATCATTCAAGGCACGATAGTACTCAGTCCAGAAAAATGAAAGAATCCGTTTAATTTATGAATAATATCAACAGATATAGTTCATTACATACTGGTGGCCCGTAACGGGTTCATAAAATGGACTGTTATTCGTGTAACAATTGAATTTATCATGTTGGCATATCTGATCTTAACTGAAGTTAGCTTAAGAGGGCAGATTGCTGTGTGAAACGCAGCGTTTTGCAGCTGTGGGGTTCAGAGAAAGTTTACAGTTGTGGTGTTTTTAGAGCTGAAATAACGTCAATGTGTTTTGTTTTAAAGCTGAATTTGTACATCTGTTGTGTAACTGAGGCTGGGTTTGTGGTAAAACGCTTTGATTCTGTTTAATCTGTGACAGAAGAGGGTTCTGTTCCGGCTCGGTTCTGATTCGTTCGAACGAGTCGTGTTTTAAATGGATAAACTGCTGTTTTGAATCTGGGATCTGTCTCAGGCCACTATGAAAATTGCTTCGTTACATCTGTAACAGTTAAAATAGTGCATTTTGACAGTTTTAATGAAAGAAAGTTGACCGGAATGTTCAGGCTAATCGCTAACACGATAGCTGAAATAACGAGCAGCAATTGGTCGAAAACCGCTGTTTGGGTAGCTCTGATTTGCTGAGAGACGAGTGACGTGTCTGTCGTCACTTCCTCTGATGTCAGGTTGTAAAACCCACCCCCACTGTTGTCTCTGACCATTGGTTGATTCAGTCACGTGACCCCGGAAATGAGTCTCGGTTCAACCGAAGCCTCCACTGTGTTTAAAATCGCTAAATGGAGCCGCCACTGTTCCCACAAAACTCATGTTTCATGCAAAAAAGTCGTGCTTGTTGAAACAATGCCACGTTTAAGTTTTAAATCCGTCATTAAATGGTGTTTTTGGACCACGCTAGCCAATGCTA